AAACAAGTAGTATTAACCAAAGCAGTTGCCGGACTGATGGTTTGTAAATACGTTCTAGCCATTGTCTGCTTGTCTCCAGAACGGATTGAGGATATTCCTGATAGACAGCCAAGGTTCTGATGATAAAATTGCGTGAATGTTATTCTGGACTTAAGGAGTTCCACTGTATTCTTCAGTGATTGGGGGGAGGGGTTGTGGTACACAAAAGAACTTTTTTTTTTTTTTTAATATGAATAAACAATCTTGCTGTACCAAATGAATATTGAGAACAATTAGAAAGAAGTCCGGGCTCGGTGGCTCACACCTGTAATCTCAGCACTTTGAGGGGCCGAGGTGGGTGGATCACCTGAGGTCAGGAGTTTGAGACCAGCCTGGTCAACATGGTGAAACCCCATCTCTACTAAAAATACAAAAAAATTAGCCAGGTGTAGTGGCTTCTGCCTGTAATCCCAGCTACTCAGGAGGCTGAGGCTGGAGAATTGCTTGAACCTGGGGGGCGGAGGTTGCAGTGAGCTGAGACCACCTCACCATGGCAATCCTGCCTGGGTAACAAGAACTAAACTTAGTCTCAGGAAGAAAAAAAAAAAAAAGAACAATTAGAGAGAAAGAAAATGAATTCTATAAAACTAAATTTGAGAATGCTGTCTAAGACTTAAACTTCCATGGCTTGGGAATTGCTGTTAGCCTTGAAGACAATGACATCAACTCCTCCGGGAATCCATAGGCTACTCCATACATTAAGGAATTCACTTCTGTTTTTTTTGTTTGTTTGTTTTTCGTTTTTTTTGAGATGGAGTTTTGCCCTTGTTGCCCAGGCTGGAGTGCAATGGCGCGATCTCAGCTCAACGCAACCTCTGCCTCCTGGGTTCAAGCAATTCTCCTGCCTCAGCCTCCCAAGTAGCTGGGATTACAGGCATGCAGTTTTGTATTTTTAGTAGAGATGGTGTTTTTATATGCCCAGCTAATTTTGTATTTTTAGTAGAGATGGTGTTTCCCCATGTTAGTCGGGCTGGTCTTGAACTCCTGACCTCAGGTGATCTGTCCGCCTCGGCCTCCAAAAGTGCTGGGATTACAGGCGTGAGCCATCGCACCCAGCCAGGAATTCACTTCTGAACCTGTATTCTACCATATTGCAAGCTCACATGTCTAAATACTACAAAGGATTCATTTGATGTGTCTAGCTTTTAATATATAACAATAATCTTCCCCAAATATCCACCTAATAGCTTTGCATGACTAGAAATCTGAAGATTTCGTCTTTTGGAAAAGACTAAACATCTCAAAATCAGAGGAAAAACTACTGTTGGCCTCAATAAAAAGGAGATCATCAAGAAACCGTAAACTGAGAATTCTTAAGTATCTTCCAGAACAACGATTTTTGGAAGAAGATGACCAAACCAATGTCTTCAGATCAAGCTTTGATGACTCCAAGTAGATACGGCCATCCAAGACAGTAAAATAGGATACAGGTTCTGGTATCTTTGCCCTCTTTTTAAACTTTTGCTGTACTTAGCATTGTGCTTAAGCATTGCCTAGAGGGCAACCAAAAGTTTTTAAGATTCTTTCACAAACTTGGCCTGGTGAGATGGCTCATGCCTGTAATCCTAGCACTTTGGGAGGACCAGGCAGGCAGAATACTTGAAGCCTTGAGTCTGAGACCAGCCTGGTCATCATGGTGAAACTCTGTCTCTACTAAAAATACAAAAATGCAGAAATTAGCTGGGCGTGGTGTCACCCACCTGTAATCTCAACTACTTAGCAGGCTGAGGCAGTGAGATGAGATCGGACGAATGCACTCCAACCTGGGCAACAGAGTGAGACTCTGTCTCAAAGAAAAGGATTCTTTCACAAATGACGAATGACAGTTTATCTTGATCTTCTTTTTTTGTTTTTTGAGGCAAAGTTTTTTTGCTCTTGTCACCCAAACTGGAGTGCAGTGGCGCAACCTCAGCTCACTGCAACCTCTGTGTCTCCCTGGTTCAAGTGATTCTCCTGCCTCAGTCCCTCAAGTAGCTGGGATTACAGGCTTATGTCACCATGCCTGGCTAATTTTTGTATTTTTAGTGGAGACAGGGTGTCACCATGTTGGCCAGGCTGGTCTCAAACTCCTGACCTCAGGTCATCCACCTGCCTTGGCATCCAAAATGTTGGGATTACAGGCATGAGCCATCATGTCTGGCCTCAATTTTCTATAGTAGAGAATTTTCCCTGCCACCTAAGGAAAGGGAAAACTTTCTTATTTTTTTCTCAACTATAGCTATTGTTTTTTCAATTTTTATTTAGCTTAAAATTTTTCTTTTAAGAGACAGAATCTTGCTATGTCACTTAGCCTGGAGTGTGGTGGTGTGATTCTAGCTCAAACTCCTGCGCTCAGGTGGTCCACCCACCTTAGTCTCTGGATAAGCTAGGACTACAGGTGCTCATCACCTCACCCAGTTATTGCTTTCAGGTTTTAGTAAAGATGAAGTCTCACTTTGTTGCCTGGGCTGGTAGCAAAATCCTGGCTCACAGGATGACCTCAAACAACAAAATATGTCTGCTGACATTATTGCAATAATGTATTGAGTCTCTCCTTGCAGTGTTAGTCCTTAATCTTCAGTGACTCCTCAGCCTCCACTCAAGCAATGTTCACATGTTGAAGAATTAGTTGTCCTGCTCTCACTGTGATAAATGACACTTATACACCCCATACCCCTTTCAGTTTGTGCAGCACTAAATCACTACTTTTTATGTGAATATCAGGTGCCCGATCATTATACAAACTTATCTAGTGTAATGTGGAGTGAGTTTTAGACTATTACATTAATAATATTTTTCAATATTTTAAACATCTACTCCTATAGGAAATGATGTTTCTCTGAGAAAGGTACCCAGAGCTAAAATGAGGCAAGTATGGACTATTCAGGAGACCTTCCAGGAGAGATGACCGACTCCCTCTTCATCTATACTCTGGGAGCTCCAATTCCAGTAATAGGAATAATATGACTAGAAAAAAGTGATCCAAAATGTGTCTCTGGTCCCAGCAGAAATCAATAGATGACACTACTTCTTTTCTGGAGGTCCAGTAACCTAGTTTAAATTAAAGTTTCATGGTGGTTTTGAATGATTTCATAGTTTTTGGTTTCTTCCTGGCCAGCCAAGGACAGCTTTTGTTTGATAGCAAACGCTGTTTGCAGCACCCCCCTAAAACGTTACTGTTCAGGCAGAACAGTTTTGTGGCAAGGTTAAAAGACTACCTGTCTCTCTAGAACAGATTCAGATGGAGTTGGGACATGATTTCATGGTCTGGTTTTGAAATCGTCCTTTGTCTTTGCAACGTATTACTAGGATTAATAATCATTTTGTTTCAGTAATTACCTGTATTTGACTAGTACATTCTGTTCAGTCTTTTTTTTTTTAGACGAAATTTTGCTCTTGCCCCCTAGGCTGGAGTGCTATGGTGTGATCTCAGCTCACTGCAACCTGTGCCTCCTGGGTTCAAGCGATTCTCTTGCCTCAGCCTCCTGAGTAGCTAGGATTACAGGTGCCCGCCACCATGCCAAGGTAATTTTTGTATTTTTAGTAGAGATGGAGTTTCACCATGTTGACCATCAGGCTGGCCTTGAACTCCTGACCTCAGGTGATCCACCCGCCTTGGCCTCCCAAAGTGTGGGATTACAGACGTGAGCCTCCTCTTCAGTCTTAAATGCTAGTTAAATGCTACTGTGCAGTCATTATATTTTCACTATGTATATTTTGTAACAAAATGTATATGAAAGATGCAGAGAACGTTCTCCCGAAAACCTTGTGATCTCTGGATTCTGATAGTGGTATAGATCTGAACCTCATAGATGAAACTCCTAATGGCTGACTTTGTCTTTGGTAAAAGGGGAGGCTGAAAACTGAAAAATCACCCAAAAACTTGCAGTGGGAAGCTGACAGGCCAAGCTGAATCTTCCCTACCAAACATAAACGTCTCCTGCAATTTTATTTTTTTTATTTTTATTTTTATGTTTAGACAGAGTCTTGCTATGTCACACAGGCTGGAGTGCAGTGGCATGATCTCAGCTCACTGCAACCTCCGCCTCCTGGGTTCAAGTGATTCTCCTGCCTCAGCCTCCTGAGTACCTGGGGTTACAGGCGTGTGCCACCATGTCCCAGCTAATTTTTTGTATTTTTAGTAGAGACAGGGTTTCAGCATGTTGGTCAGGCTGGTCTGGAACTCCTGCCCTCCTGATCTGCCCACCTCAATCTCCCAAAGTCCTGGGATTACAGGCATGAGCCACCGCACCCGGCCGCAAAATATGTTAAATACTCAAGATTGCTCAGTGATTGTCACTCAACGAGATGTAGAAAGTCTATTCTGGCATTCTATGACAGCTCGGCCGGGCATGGTGGCTCATGCCTGTAATCCCAGCACTTAGGGAGGCCGAGGCGGGGAGATCACGAAGTCAGGAGATCGACACCATCCTGGCTGACATGGTGAAACCCAGTCTCTACTAAAAAAATTACAAAAGATTAGCTGGGCGTGGTGGTGGGCACCTGTAGTCCCAGCTACTTGGGAGGCTGAGGCAGGAGAATGTCATGAACCCGGGAGGCGGAGATTGCAGGGAGCCGAGATTGCGCCACTGTACTCCCGCCTGGGCAACAGAGTGAGACTCCCTTTAAAAAAGAAAGAAAGAAAGAAAAAAGTACATTCTGTAACTATATTTGAAACCAGAGATAACGTTCAGCAATGAAGACCACATTAGTCTCTCAACTTCCTAGATAAATTTACCAGCATAATTACCAAATTGCCCCATTTTAGAGAACTAGCTCCTACTCCTTAAACGCGCCTTAGACTGCCCTAGTCAACTCCTACAATGGGCTCCTATGACACCATCCTATCAAGTTTATTTTCCTGTGTTGTTTGCTCTCCCATGATGCAACACACCAAATAAACCCAGTCGTGTTGGAATACACTGTGTGGTCACTGGGTGGCTGCCGACACCTGTGCAAATCTACGAAGCCCATTTGGAGGCTTCCTGCACCTCCATACCCTCAACCCCTGCCCTGGTTCATGCCAGTACGCATGCTCCAAAATCCTTTGAATTTAGAGTGAAGAAAAATTCCTGATTCCAGGGCATCAGAAAGCCAAGCACTTATCAGATGATTAAGTCTGACTTGAAAGGATTAAGCTCAGAGCAGATAATTACTTGGAATGAATTATCTTGGGAAGACCTCCGGGGATTGGACACCCACCCTAAGGTGGATCAAGGGGCGGGTTGTTTGGATTCCTTATTAAGCACAGAGCCTAGGCCCTTCCTCGCTTTTCCAAGTCTTTTGCCAACCAGTTTCTTAGACTTTCCCCTATTCTGAATCAGGTGGGAGCAGAGCATGGACATGGGAACAGGTGCTCTCAGCAAGGAGCCGTGGTGGACCCTACCCGAAAACTTTCATGCTCCAATGGTGTTCCACATGGAAGAGGACCAGGAGGAGCTCATCTTCGGTGAGTGGCCTTTGCCGACGTCCCCTCCTTCACCTGTTTGTTTTTATTTTTTTGAGACAGATTCTCGCTCGTGATCTTGGCTCACTGCAACGTCTGCCTTTTGGGTTGAAGTGATTCTCATGCTTCAGCCTGCAGAGTACCTGGGATTACAGGCTCCTGCCACCATGCCTAACTAGTTTTTGTATTTTTTGTTTGTTTGTTTGTTTTGAGACAGTCTCGCTCTGTCGCCCAGGCTGGAGTGCAGTGGCGCCATGACGGCTCACTGCAAGCTCCGCCTCCCGGGTTCTCGCCATTCTCCCGCCTCAGCCTTCCGAGTAGCTGGGAGTACAGGCGCCGCCACCGCACCTGGCTAATTTTTTGTATTTTTAGTAGAGATGGGGTTTCACCATGTTAGCCAGATGGTCTCGGTCTCCTGACCTCGTGATCTGCCCGCCTTGGCCTCCCAAAGTGCTGGGATTACAAGTGTGAGCCACGGCTCCCGGCCTAGTATTTT